AACAGCTCAGTTGTCCTATCATTTTCTCAAATTTCAAAACAACACTGCACCAATTTGAAAGCTCAGCATGGGCTGCTACTTACATAAAGTTATCAAACCACATTTCTTTGGAAATACAATCTTCCCACAGTAGGAAGCAGTTCAGAAGTTCGTCAGTAGCTTGTTAATCTTTTACAGTATAAATCTGCTTTTAAAAATAAATTGACAACTTTAATTTGACTTCGGATAGTTGCATCTACTCCTGAAAATCTTGCCAAGAAAATCAAATTCAAAGCCACCCTGAGATAACTACCAGCTAGAGATATGTAATGTGGCTGCCCCATTAGGAGGTAAATTTAGTGTGATCTAATTCTCTCAAATAAACCAATATAATGACCCTGCAACAACATTCCCTTGCAATCCCCATCACCAACCACACTTCCCCCACAACCCAGATCAACCTTAGCCTATTCTGAGGTGCTTTATTTTAAAATGTATTTTCTGGATAGAAGTTAAGATGCTGCCTGTTTTTTCAAAAAAAAAAGTAACAAGAACAAAAACCGATCTCTTTCAAAGAGCTGAGGTGGTTGCTGTGGCAATAGTGTATACAAACAATTCATTATTGTGTATGCATCCTGATAGATTGCTCAGTTTAACAGGAACTTGAAAAAAAATGAAACATTAAATATGTACAGAGATGGTCATTGTAGTTAATCTCATTTGTACATTTTTCATAAAAGTGACTGGCTGGACAACCTGGAAAAAATGCTAAAAATATAACAAGAATCCAGTATGCTGATTTGTGATCAGATAATTCTCTCTTCCTTAGCAAATTCTCTACCATAGCAGTGCTGGTGTCTGATTAAAGCTTCCTACTGATCAGATGGTAGACTATCCTGTTGCACAGCACAGTAGCAAAATACAATGCTTTGTCTGAATGTGAACTTAAAGTGATCTTAAATGATCTCTGGTTCTGTAATGCTCCGTTGGAGGTGGCCATGATCTGTGTTCTGATGTCCAGATATCACCAGACAGGCTGCATGATGACTCACTAAATGTAAGCAAGCATGGCACCATCAGATTCAGACTGTGGCTGTACACATTGCTTTGGCAAGATACAACTTCAATGGAGACATTATCTGTCCTGTGGAAAAATGATGTACTCAAATGCTGTTCCTGCAGTATTAATGAAAAAAAGTGTTTTTAAGAAGATTGATCAATCCTTTATGTAAATGTTTCCTGATATGATGGGTGAAGGTCACTATAATCATAGGAATAAGAGATCACTGAACTTCTCAACTCTGCCCCAATCAGTTAAATCATAGAATCATTATTCCATAAATACTACATACCCAACTCCACATCACCAGACGCCCAACAGAAATCTGTAGAGCTTGTCTATGGGTCATAGTTCTTATCAATTCTACATTATCTTCCATCTCAAGATGACTTAACTCAAACAGCAGACAAATGATTCAGTCACCAGTATCACTTCTGACATTCACTCTGCCTTTATGTAGCTTGCAGTTTCTTCTTTCTCTTTGCTTTAAATTGCAGGGCAACACAAACTTTACAAAAGAACATCTCACTTTGCAATATGACTGGTTACCTCCGGTTTTGCCATAAATAGTATCTCACCCCAAGGGGCGTTAGCATACAGCTGTTTTGGGGTGTCACAGCTTGTTGAAAGCTCACCCTTACAACTGCTCTCATGTCAACCCAGGCGTGATTAAATGCCTGTTCTTGCACCTTCCTGTGCAAAGTCCCTAAATAACAGTCAGAGGAGGAGCCTGGTCAATTTTCATTCAGTACCCCGCATTTTTTCAGGTGAGGTGTGGTGTCCCAATTATTCCCTACCCAAGAACAGCAAACTAAAACTGCAATCAAATTCCTCGATCAGCCTCGCACCAAGTGACCCAGTGATCCAGAAAGTGAATTGTTAACCCATTTGCTGTTTAAAGTTACTATTGCTCATCGTGTGTCTCAAGTCTTATTAGAACCTTGTTGTCTCAAAACAAGTGGTGAAGTGGTGCTTACCAGACGTGAAAAGGTCAGATCTGTGTGCACCAACACCAGCAGACACAACAGTGAATCTTCCAGTAAATCTCATCTCTTAACTGCACCTCAGAAGCTGAGTAATGCAGAGCCACTTGAAAACATCTGACTGTTCTTTGAATAAGTCAATTCAACATAAAAGTTGCAACAAAAAGACTGGAAAAGATTTATTAAAAAATATTTTAGCAAAGAAAACTCCTAATTAATAACTTCAGCCCTGAATGCTTCATTTAGTAGCATCTGATTTCAACAGCTGTTGCAAATTTCAACTAAAATCCTGAAGTCAACAGATCAGTGAGTAAAATTCCAACTTCTGATCAGGATTATATAGGTAACGTTTACCTGCTCAGCATCGCAAAGACAATGAAACAGACTCATTTGCTAACGACTTCCAGACAAATCAGTGAGCAGAGTTAATATCCGTGGTATGTTAAAGGTGTGACACAGAGTCATGTTATCTAGGCATGTGCCTGCAATCCTCAGCAAAAGCTACTAACATGGCACTGAAAGAAACACTAACAATGCCAACCGCAATCTGTGTCACATGAAGGTCAAAGCAAGATTAAGTCAGTGTGGGCCTGCGTGCGCACAGACAAACAACAGTAGGCTGGACAGGTATACCTAGCAGTTAAAGCTAATCTCATACTCAGTTTTGAAATGGGGTTTGGGCACTTCAGACATTGCTTATCAGCTAGCGGGACAAGCTCCACCTTCATGAATTTAATTAATAAAATGGAAAACATGCTTAATTTATCAACTAACTTAAATTCATTTTTAAAATCATTCCAATGACAAAAGACAAAAAGTAACAGGGGCATTATAGAAAGAATGGTTAACTAGGTTGTATTCTTCTAATAACATGGAACAGACATTAATCTGGAAGCACATTTTTATAAATTTCAGTTTTTTGAAACAGTATATTTTACTCAAATACCTGAACGTGGATGCACAAAACATGCACAATTAATTCTGGGAAAAACAACTTGAGCGATGGCAGGTTTACGTATAGTATTCACATACTATACATCTACTATTACCACATCTTCCCAGTTACTTAATTCTAGGGAGTAATCCTGAAAATAAGTTGCGAATAAAGCACAGTTTAAATATGCTGCAAAATGCTCCAACACACTCAAGTCAGAAGGTTCACAGTATATGGGAGGTTAAACTTTTTAAAAATAGATTCATCTACACATGGAAGAATGAAACAAAAGAGGCAAACTAAATACAGGGAAGAAATAAGGAAAAACGATCCACTGTTCTTTTCTAATATTCCCTGGAGCTAACTGTTCATTCAGAATCATCATTGCAGTCCTTGGAAACTGCAATAATTAGAGTGCTTTATGCAGATGCTATTACACATTCATCAAATTAGGTAACATAGTGAATATTATTTGCTAGGTGGACAAATAACAGGTACAGGTAGCTTAAAAGGGTTCTGGAAATCTGAGCAAATGCAGAAAATGCTGGAGAAACTCAGCATGTCTGTCATCATCTGTGGAGTGATCTCTTGATTTGAGTTTCTTTATCAAAATATTTCAGACATCCTAGTCTGACTAGATACATTAATACCTAAAATGGCAATGTATCTGTTTATTGTTGAGCAAAACATCTAATTTGAAAGGAAAATTTTACAAACCCTGATAACCACATACTTTCAAACAGTGGTTCTTTAGAACAATGATTGAGCTCAAATTGTGAACAAATTTAATGATTAGCAGTCTACCTGATCTGATTACTTTAATATTTGCAACATACAGGGGCGATTATTTTCAAAACTCAAACAGAAGCAAAGACAGAATATGTTCAAGCTCACTTAACACTCATCAAAACAAACCCTTTGTTCCACAGAGACAAATAACACTGCCTTGATTAATTCGAAGTTACTGAGCATTAAACTGATATACCCACTAATTTTGCTTAAAAAGCCAAGTTCCATTGATTTAATGGGTTACGCAGTTCACCGTAAATGGACATTCAGACAGTGTGTGGTAGAGGTGAAATGCAACTCCAAACGGATTTGGGTTAAATCTCCTTTGACCGTATTCATTCCCTCAACTGCAAGCTCATACAAAATTGATTTTCCCTTGTAATGTATCATGGAGGGTGAGCACCAATGGAGTTGAATCTTAGTAAATAGATGAAAACAGTTGCTGATAAAACAATGAGGATATGAGAGCAGAGTAACACTATCAGGATACCCAATTCTACAGATACAAAACTGCATTAATCAGCAAATTCTGGCTAAAAGTTTACAGATAATGAAGATTCACAAAACAAGATAATTTATTGGTTAGATTAAATGAGCATTATAGAGCAGTAATATCTCTTTGATTACATAAGGCTGCACCTTTATACTGCAGCAATATTTATACATCAAGGTCTTTGATGACTGCGCCAAAACACAAATTTACAGGCAGCATTTGAAACAAGTTTATGTGTTAACTACTGATTTGATGCAATCTTTAAAACTTTCATTTAAAGGGAACATGTCAAGCTGCCACTGAACAGAAGGCAGATTGAACGCAATTGAAAATCTGTATTGAAGTTAAACCCTTCAATAACTCTCTTACATGGGTAGGCTGAACCTATTTTGTAAATAAAATTGTAAAATTTCACTTTTATTCTTACAACTATGTTGTTGTCAAGTGTACAGCATACGTTGATTTGACAATTTTGGATCTAATGGACTATTTATTTTAGATTAATTATGGCTAAATAGAATTAGGTCTCTTTCCTGGTCCCATATCAATAATTTGAATGCAAACCTCAGCGAAGACATATGACTCAGATCTAAACTGAAACATGGTCACAATCAAAAAAATTGATATTTTTGAAAGACCTTTAGCAAGTGAAGTCCATGACCATTTCCCTGAATGAGCAGAGTTGCTGTATTGGTGTGAATGCTTGCTGTGAAAAATTAATTTGCAAAGAACCGCAACAGCACATAACCAACGAGTATGTTCAATGATTGGATATACAATTTATTAAAAAGAACCCACTACATATAAACCTGGAAGCTTCACTTTCACCATGCACATTACAGCTAGAGCTACTTGACAACAGACATTAGTGGACCCAATTAAACCAATACAAAGATATTTTTCAATGTAGGAAAAACACAAGGTAAAAACACAAGGCAACAGAAGGTGGTTTGAAGCAAAAGAAAATGAAAGGCTGCTTGAATCTAAGCAAATTTCACAACATTCTAGAATGACCAATATGCATAAAAAGTAACAGAAGGCAAGGCGAAAAAACAAATATACCCTTTTGAATACTAAGGCTTTTGAAATAAACAGGACAATAATTCAATATAAAGAAATAAATGCAAAATTTAAATTGAAAAACAGTTGCAAAGAAACCCAATATTTTACAGTTAATAATAACTTTAATATGGAAATTTAAGGTCAATATGATAAAGGATGGCTATTAATTTATGCTTCATAAAAATTAACTTTATAAATAAAAAGATTATGCACATTATTTTTAACGCATCTTACTCTGAATTTCACTCATCAGTTTAATCAAGTTCCCCTCAAAGTCACAAAACATTTTAATTATATCATTATTCCTTCATTGGGGCAAAATCCTGGAATCATCTCCCCAACACTACTATAGCTTTGACGCCCAGACTTCAGTGGCTGAAAAAGACGTTTGGAGGGATAAGCAATAACGCTGGCCTCTTTAATAACACCCACACCTCACAAATCCAAACAAAAACTCAATGACCTACTGACAAAAAGAATTTAAAGACAAGTCGCCTGGTGATTTTTAAGGATTTCTATGCGGCTTTTATATAATTTTAAATTTAAGTGTGAACACAAATTAGGTCTATTGAATACTGCGTGCATTAAATATCTTTTACGAATCATTCAGAGGCATTCCCAGTACTGCTGGATTTGAAATATTAGCATGTTATTCAGCATTCAAAACAGTTAAGGAAACTGCTGTCTCTTATGAAAAGAGCACCAGCAGATATAAACAGAAGAACTTGGAGCTAGTGATGGGTGAACTGATGGTCCCAATGGGATACTAACACTGCTTCATAAACATTAAACTGTCTTCAGCTTAAATTACTAGAAAATGCTCAATGCTCTTCAAAAATACTTAACTTTGATTACACTGCAAATGAATGAAATCAAATCAAATTGAAATAGAATCATCTAGATATTTTGTGATCCAAAACATGTTAAAACAAAGCCATCGTATCACCCGTTCACTAGTCTGAAGCCAGGAATGCAAAGTTTGTTTTAAAGAAACAGTAATCTTTTTTGGACCTAGAATGGACTGCTTGCACCTTTAAGAAAATCAAACAGATTCACTTTCTCTTTCTATACTCAATTTTTGTTTAGGTCTCAATTACATTGTTATCTTGCAACAATTTTTTTTGAGGGGCTGGGGGAGAAAGTGTCTTAATTCAGCTTCTCAATTATACGAAAGATTGGACACCACAAAGCACAGGCATTTAACCCATTGTGCATGTGCTGGCTACTTGGTAGAGTTATCCAATCATTCCCAATGTCTTGCTCTTCTCGGTCAGAATTACATCCATCAAGAAAGATACTTGATTAGAAGTGCAGTAAGCTAAAGATTGAATGAGTCAGTATCGCAAAACTGAAGAATCAAGCACAACAGTATCACTGGAATTAAGTATAAATCAAGAATATTGATGCTCTTTATTGAATATGAAACAATATTGAGGTCTGTAGTGTTCTTAGTCTTTTAAAAAGGAGGCCCATCATTAATCGCTCGTTTCTGAATGGGAGAGAGCACACAGAGCTAAGTTTTCTTTCACAATAGTACAATATACTATAAAAAGAGCAAAGGCAAACTGTATTAAATGGCTGTTGTGCTAGTTTAATTTATCATTGAGCACCATGAATTTAAGTTGTGAAATGGATGCATCATTTAAAAATAACCCAAACAATGTTCAAAATTATCCCTGAAAGATATTATTTAATTTCATTACCTTAAATAGTATATGCATTACTGTCCTCTCGTCATGATGTTTAGTCACACTTTCCACACTGACCTTCATGACTGTAATGCATACATAACCAGCTATCATGGGAACTCCCTAAGTGAAGGTTTTCAGTGACACTGTAGCTGCAGGCTACCTGCCACTAAGAGGCACCATAACTTCACATTACCCTGTGACGTGTTGACCAACGCCACAGGAGATCTATTACCCCTTAAAAATAAATTGAAGTCTTGTCACTTGGTCTAAAAGTTCCAAGCATTTTCAGTTAATTTGTTAAGTTTGAATAAGTAGTTAATTGGATTTTTTTTAAACCCACTAACCTAACATAGATGGAAGAAAGAGTACGTTGTTGTGTAGGTTTGATTTTCGTAAGATTATAAAGTAAAGCTCTCATCCATAGGTCGACAAAAAATGATGCTGCATCTTTAACATCCTTAGAAAACAATTAAATGATGGAAAAGCGAGATAGGAAACAGCGCTCCACTGGATAAATAAGGACAGATTCATTCACACAAGAGTTCATTTCTGCCACTGTTCATTGTTCAGACTCTGACCTTCGTGCCCTGTATCGCCGCTGGCCAATTGACTTCCGAGTAGCGATGGTTGCAGTGAAGCCCACCAAACAACACAGGGATGTGGTGCTGAATTTTAGAGTGTCAAGCCAACCAGGAACATCGGTCTGCAGGTAATTCTCCATCAAATGTAAGCCCATCACTGCAAGCCAGAGTAGAGAAGCCAGTGCATCGATCCTCCGAAGCCTGGGGAATTCGGTAAAAGACAGAAATACATTTTTAAAAAATCATGTTGACTGTCCTAAAGTAAAGAGAAAGGACAGTCAGATTAATTATTAAATGTACAGTTATGGCAAGTTACTATCTTATTTGTATGGAAGAGGAAATTAATTTTGGATGCTAAGTTCAATTTTATTCTATTCCACCATTGTGGTGGAATCTCAGAAGAGCCATTCAGCCCACTGCATCTCTGCTCGCTTTTTAAAAAGAGCTTTCTAATTAGTTTCATTTCCTCAAATCTTGCTTGCAGCCTTGCATGGTTTACCTTTCACAAGAACATAAAACCATTTCAAAAGGAAACTGGCTCAAAGTTACTTTGAATCTACTTCCACCCTTGCTGGCTGCGCATTCCAAATCATGACTTGGGTAAAAGATCTCACCTCCCTCCTGTTGCTCCTCCTTTGATTTGCTAATAGATTGCCCCTTGGTTAATGACCCGCTCACCAAAACGAAACTGCTGTGCTTTATATACACATTATATTTTTGGACGCCCCCAATTAAATCTCTAACTTTCTCAACTCTAAGGAGCACAATCTTAGCTTCTCTGGTATCACCACATGATTGGAAGCCCCTCAATGATCTTTTTGGTCTGGTAAATCTCTTCTGAGGCTTGATACATTTCCTGAATTACCCTGCAAGAATTTGATAATTGCTATGAGGTCTTACGATGAAACTTAAACAAATTTTAAAATATATCAAACAAAACGCTGCGAAACAATAACTTTCAAAAGGGATAAATAAGAATAACTTTCAAAAATAGGAGAAACGTTCAAGTTTAGAGAAAGAGGGGATAAAAAGGGAGGACTAATTAGATAACTTTTCAAAGGGCACAGACAGACTCCACGGGCCGAATACTGGCTTTCTGACTTGGTGTATATTCCAGTTAAGGCCTGAGCAGCAAGTTTAAGAAAAAAGTTTAGTCTCCCAGCAACTTGGATCTTCTGGGAGCAAAGGAATGGTATTGACAGGTCATCTATTCCTCACACTTCACTACCACTAACAGTCTCAACTGTTAGGAATCGTAATACCAGAAACTGGTTCTATAGTTCATGGTTTTTTTTCCCCTCAGACAGAATTAAGTCGGACACAGTAACTCCAACACAATATGGCCGGGATCAGTATTAAAAGCAGCAGACAACACCAACTTTCATTTTGCCATTTAAATATTCTCTGCTTCCTGGTGAAATTGATTATTACTGCTCTGCTTAAAGAGGAATGAAACTTTTCAGCCAAAATTGTGCAGTTCCACATAGACACACAGACTAAGATGTCTTACAGACAAACTTACACTGCCTTAATTACAAGACAAATTAAAAACATATTTGGCTTGCATACTGTTCAATAGCCCAGAGTAAACAATTAACCAGATAATTACACCTCCCCCTCTCTGCTACCACGATCCACAGTTTCTCAGAGTAATCTTTTTCTTCAGGTCAAGTGCACTGCATAGGTAACCACATTTTTTCATCTATCACTTGCCTAAACCGGATTTTGCCTTGTCAAGTGGGGCACATCTGAAAACACCTGCAGGTTGATCAAAGGGGCAGTTTGTTGTTGCCGGAGGGATTTTAGGATATAGTTACCTTGTAAGCCAGCATCCTCAATTCTAGCAGGTTTCAGCAAATCAGGCTAAAGAGTTTGCACACACAGCAGAATTATTCACGACACAATTAATGACAGAGGGTCAGCATATAGACATGAAAAGAACATAAAATGAAAGCAAAATACTGCAGATGTTGCAATTCTGAAATACAACAGTAATGAATAAAACAGCAATGGTATCAACATGGAAGACGTTCAAAAACATTTGAAAGTTTGGATGCTGCGTCTTTTACCCAAGATCCCACTGCAGGAGGAATATACTGCATAATTTTGAGCAATTGTATCCAATGCCAGAAAGTTCCGAAGGAAGCAAATTACTGTTGGTAGGGATGCAGATGATTGGTGAATGATGCTTGAGTTTTAACCTGACACTGACTGATCTTTTGGATAGCGCAAGTTAATGCAAATCACAAAGTTAAAATTGGTAGAATAGCAATCAGTGGATGTCCGCAAACCAGAAAAAAAAATGCAACTCAAGTTGTCAAGTTCTAAAAATCATTTATTCAAAAACAGTCAAATGGAAAAATTTAACCATCGTTGCTCAGTGAAACTACAATGTTTCAGAACATTTTTAGGACGTTGCTACAAATTGCAACCAGAACAATTTTTCTCTTCCATTGCTCCCAGTCAATTAATTTTTTAACAATTAGGTGCTTTTAATCTCCCTCCTAACAGGGGGTTATCTGGTGCTAACCAGGAGCACTGGCTACACCCAGCCCAAGGTTACTTAAACTAATTGCAAGATAAACAATTGCAATCTTGGTCAAGCTCAATCATGGAACCATTGCACCCTGCCTTTCCCCAGTAAATTATTGGGGAAATTGACAAACTTCTTTAATTGGATATTTCCTCTGCAGACAACATTCCCTTCTGTGACAACAATACTGCAAGTTGGCCAGAATCTAAATTAAATGGTGACCAAAAAAAAAACCTACTGAACCCAAGGAAACGAGGTACACCACAAAGGACTTAAATTAGAATAATCTTTCTGATGATTCTGTGTGTAAATATATCATTTATGATGGTTCCGATCCTTGAGCTGTTCAAAACTTTCATACCAATCTATATTTATCTGAGGCATTTATCTGGAACTGGAAGCAATGCAGAAGGCAAATGGTTAGCGATGGAAAAATTACGCTGGAAAAAAAGGCTGAAGAAGATTTCAAGAACTAACTGGCAAATCACCAGAGAGTGATGATAGTCTGGACCATGTTAATTTGAATCACATCACTGCTTTAGAGAAGGAAAATAAAGAACAGAAAAATTATAAGAAAATCCTTTTTCCCATGAGCCCACCACTGGAAAAATTGGCTAGGGGAGAAAGTGAGTCCTGGATTACACCTATATAGCCTGGTAAAGGTTAGAAGAAACAAAATCATAGTTAAAGATTACCACTCATCTGACTCGTCACATTGATCAGCAAGAACCCATGTTGCACTACCTCTAAATAAACTAAGCTGCTGTCATTTTATCTGTATTTACATGCACAAAATCAAATTGTTATTTCCTGTCTTCCACACCTCACACCCTCCAGATTTTAAGGCACTATTTCTAATTCAAATTCTTAACCTTAAGCTTTTTTTTGGTCCCCAAACAATGCTGAATCAGACTAAGCTGAACAACGCGAAACAAATTTTACATTAAAGTTACTTGGGAGTCATAGGTGGTCTGGGAGAACTGACTTCAGAATTTCAGATTCCAAAAGTATAAAGTAATTAAGTTTTTAAAGCAATTAGAACATTTCACTCCTGTACTACAAATTGGAATTCTACACGAGTCAGGATCAGTCACATGCTCAATAAATAAGCAGTAAAACATCTGAAAGAAAATAAGAGTTTTGGGACACAGGAACAAAAATAAGGCCATTCATCCCCTTCTGAAAATTATTACAGAACAATTGACATCACGATTCAGTGAGCAAATGGAACACAAAAATACGCAAGTCAAAGGGTCAGGTTCCTTCCCTGGTCTGCTTGCATTACCGAGAGGAATTCAGCAGCAATATCCTGACACTGAGGTGACTAACCTGCAACAACTTCTACAACGTTCCTTTGCACCTAGCATGATTCCTGTTAGTACAGAACTTTCCTGTTATTTCCAATTTCTTCAATTTAACTACTGCTCCTTGATATCACAGTCTATCAAATATTACTTTGATATTAGGAACAGACACACTCATCTCCTCTATAGATCATCATAGAATCCCTACAGTGTGGGGACAGGCCCTTTGGCCCAACAAATCCATAATGATCCTCAGAGCATCCCACCCAGACCTATCCCCCTATAACTCACCTAATCCACACATCCCTGAACACTATGGGGCAATTTCCCACGGCCAGTCCACCTAGCCTGCACATCTTTGGACTGTGGGAGGAAACCCATGCAGACACGGGGAGAATGTGCAAACTCCACACAGACAGTTGCCCGAGGGTGGCGTTGAGGCAGCAGTGCTAACCATTGAGCTCTTTTATCTTTGGAATAGTGATGCTGAATGGCATACGGGTTGAAACGTACAACACAGTAGTTTGACAGTATACATTACAATTTGGGACAACATGTATGAATTACTGATTTTTAATTTAAAATCGACAGATTTTTAAAAATTCATCTGTGGAATTTGGGCGCTGCTGGCTGGCCAGTATTTATTGTCTATCCCTAAGTTATTACCTGGGACTTGCATTTGAAAGAAATCAGCTTTAAATGAGCCGGGACATTGAAGTGATTGAAATCACCTGACCCACTGTTCTTTCTTCAAGCTTGGACCCTATATCGGTTACAAGTTGGACTACAGAGACAGATTTTTAAGAATAAAAGGGAACTTGAAGTGTCAACTAGTCTGAGAAAAGAATGGCTTATATATAAGAAAAAAAAGAAAATGGTCAACTTCCTCAGCCACAATGTCACTAAGATTGCATGATCATTGGCAAACTGCATTTTTGTTTTTTTCTTGGGGATTTATGCCCAACTGCACCTTATAACTTGTTCTGTTTTTACATGCTAGAAAGTGCATGTGTTGCAGCATGCAGGAGAGATTTTACCTTTTAAAAAGTTGCTAAATGAGTTTTACAATAAGACAAGCTCCTTACTTCTGTTAACTCAGTAAAGTCCAGAGGACCGCAGGGCTGCTCTCTCAGAGATACAACTGGCGCTGAGTTTAACTTGAAGTGCACCATGCCTCAGGTAAAGGTGCAAAATGAAGAGGTAGTAGCCTCAGTTAGTACAGTAATTGAACCTGTGCTGTTGGTGTCTCTCTGCATTGCAAACTAGCCATCCAGCCAACTAAGCCAACCAACCCCCATGTTAACTCAAATGACCAAGTTAGATTGTTTCTCCATACAGCTTTACAAATGGTCAATCACATAATG